GTACCTGTATATATATATATATATATATATATATATATATATTCTTTATTGTTATTAAAGTTATTGTTATTAAAAATTATTGTTAATTTTATTAATTTGAGTACTTATAGTTGCCATTAAGTTGCCAAAGTTTATCATCTATTTATATATTTATTGCAGTTCTGCTTCAGTTCCCGAAAATAAAGGGGTTTAGTTTGTTATCAGTGACAACACTGCCTTGTTAATTTCTTATTTTATTTTATTTTTTTATTTGTGAGTTTTGAGTTTTAAGTTTTGTGTAAACTTAGTTTAAATTTGTTTAAATTCATGAATTATTATTTCCTGTTATTACATAATTAAATTCTTAATTCTAATAATTATAAATATGTTAGTATAAATCTATATTTGTAATCATATTTATGAAAGTTTAATTAATTTAATAAAATTATTTAGTATATTTCAATATAATTTAAAATTTCATTTCAAAGGTTTCATTTGTTATTATTGTAATGTTGTTGTTGTTGTTATTGTTAACATAAATTTATACTATACTTTTTTTTGTATTATCAGGATATCAGCCATTCTGCTTTCTAGATAGCGCCATGTTTTTCCTAAAAATGTGCATAAATTATTAAAAGATTAAATGATATAGGTTCTGTTCTGCATGTTTTTCTAATTCAGTAAAAGTGGCTATGTAATAATGGGCAGTTTCCTTTCACTCTTGACATTTTATGACAGGGTCATGGGCATTGATCCTTTTCAGCCAAAATTATTTTATGGTCAGTTTGTCTTCTTTATGATGGGCCATCAATCACGCTGGACTCATGCAGGGAAGGGCAGCAGAGCTCCTCAGTTAAATTCTCATTGCACAAGCTCACAAAGTAAAAAAAAAAAAACTGCCACTTCAACTTTATATTTCCATTGATTTGAAGATCTTTTAAAAAGCAGCTGTAAATTTGAGAATAATGGTGGTTCTCTCCCTACAAGCTCTGCAAGAATAGACCTTTCACTTGGACTAAAAGTTCGTGTTGTTGGCTCAGCAAACTCACTGCAGAGAACTTGAGCTTTCCAAAGCTGAGCTTCTGAGCTGTCTAAATGTCCACTGCAGCACTTTCTCTGAGACGATAACACTGCATTACCACTGAACCAATGAGAGACCATCAGACTTTTTGGCAAAAGTGTTACCATTAAGCTGGAAGTTGGAACAGGAACATGTAGACGCTGAAGAGATGGAGGTATTTTATCATCCTGAGGGAAACACAGTCCTGACCTACACAGAGTAACGATTACTGAGAAATCTTTGTCTTTTTGTATGGACTCTTTTCTGTTCATTCTTTTCTGTGTCTGCCTCTCGTTGTGTCATTATTCACTTCTAGATTAATCAATGCAAACGCCAGAGAACCTAAAGATTTTATGTAGTTATACATTTTTTTTTTTTGGTCCACACATTAACTTAAAAAGGGGTTTCTGCGGGTCTTAAAAAAGGTCTTTCACAAATGAAGGCCTTGAAAGGTCTTAAATCAGAGCAGAGTCTTAAAGTCTGAAATTCATGAAGTCATGGCATGAAATGTTGCTTGCACTGCCAAAAATTAATAACATCCTCAGTTTTTTCCCAATGCAA